GGGGGGAGACGCGGCGTTCAGGCCGAGGGCTGGGGCCTGGGGCCGAGCGGGCCCGCAGCACGAGGCCGACAGTGGCCGGGACGCGGCCCCCAGCAAGGCCGGGGCCCTGGCGGGGAGGGCCAGGCAGGCACCCACCGGAGCTGGGCGTGCAGCAGCGGGTTCCCGCTGAGCACAAGCGTCTGCAGGTGCACAAGGCGGCGCATCTGGGGGGGCAGGCTCTCCAGGCGGTTCTCGCTGAGGTCCAGGAACAGCAGGTCGGTGAGGCTGATGAAGAGCTGGCTGGGGACGGCGTCGATGCTGCGGGCGGAGGGCTGCCGGGTCAGGGCCACGCTCCCACCTCCAGGACCAGCCCCGGACCGCCCAGCCCGCCCTCTAGGCACCTGTTGTGGCTGAGATTCAGCACCAGCATGTTCTTGGCGTTCTCCAGCTCACGAGGGCACTCCGTCAGCTGGTTGTAGCTCAAGTCCTGGGTGGAGGGGCGAGGCCGGGTCAGGGGCGTCAGGGCTGGTCCCACCCTGCCAGGCCTCCGCCGGGCTCGAGGGTCAGGACAGGCACTGAGAGGGGAGCAGAGGAGGGGGCTTCAGGGCAGAGAGAGACAGTGGGACCCCGGGCGGAAAGAGGCCTAGGTTAGGGATCCAACTCCATAAGCGACCTTGGGCAAGGCACCGCCCCCTGTAAATCTCAGATGTCGGTGTCTGTAGAACAGGATCACCACGGACGGCCCCAAGGTCCAGCGTAGTGGGTGGGCACTGAATGGTGGGGCTGGCACAAGGACCAGGTGGCAGATAACCACTGACCAGAACCGAGAGGTCATCCAGCTTGAAGATATCATCGGGGACTCCGGAATTCTTCAGGCTGTTGGCTCGAGCCACGATGGCCTGGGGATACACCATGAGAGTCCGTGACTCCTAGCTTCCACCCCCCAGGAGAAACAGGGATCGGGGGGGACACCACCTCCAGAAGTCCACCAAGGCCAGGCCTGAGTGCTCTCCCACTGTGGCTTTTGCTCATAATCTACTTGGCAAGCCTTTTCTAGACTACCAATGAGCTCCTATTTATACCTCAAAACCCAACTCAAATGTGCCGCAGAGCCCAGCACACAGAATCTCAGGGAACCTTTCCTGATGGAATAATCCCTCTTTCTCCCAACCCCAAAGGGCAAGACAGGGATAGAGCTCTGAGTCAGAGCTTCTAGTACAGAAGAAGGTTGAACCAAAGACAGGTCAGAGCGCAGACTCAAAGCAAGTCCGTTTTCTCTCCCCTTAGGGCTGAAACTTGCTCACGCTTCCAAAGTGCCAGAAGTTAGTGCAGGATGGCTGGTGGGGAGGGGACAGGCCAGGTGATGGCAGCATGACTGCAAGTGACAAAAACACTAACAAGAGCCACCGCTGCTGCTCCCTCAGCCCCGGCGTCTGTGTGGCGCCACCGTGTTGCTTCACGGCGGTCACTGCTGGACCATCTCAGAAAGTGTAAGGAACTCGTCCAAGGTCATGCGGCCGGGAAGTGGCAGAGCTCAGATTTAAACTCGAGTCCAGAGACTGTGCCCTTAACATCTCAGGGCTCCGATCTTGGATGGGAATAACCCTCGACGAGACCTGAGGGTCTGGGATGGGGGCTCCAAGGAGAGCAGAAGCCCAAGTGAACTGCCCCGCCCACCTGCCCTCCTGGCCAAGCCCCGCCCTACCCCGGCTCTACCACTGCAGCTGTGCGACCTGCCTCCGTGGCCAAGTGTCCTCAGCTGTGAACTTGGAGGAGGTGAAGATCACATAAGAAACTCTCGTGAATCAGCTGGAACAGCGCTCAGCTGCTAACAACTGCTATAATACTTGTTACTCAAACTGGGTGGCATTTGGGGTTTTTCAGCGCTTCCCCCACGGTTACTCGACACGGCATTACTGCATGCTCTCCCCCGCAGAGTGCGGGTGCAGAGAGGTGCTGGCCCGACCCTCAGGCCCCGGCCCGAGGTCTGCAGCCTCGGGCGGCACTCACCCGCAGTGACGGCAGGCTGGACAGCTCCCCGTGGAGCGTGGTCAGGTTGTTGTGACTCACCGACAGGTGCTCCTGGGCAGGGACGGGAAGAGGGGCTCAGCAGGGCGGTGGGGCATCCACGGAGCCCCCATCTGCCACCACAACGCTGCCCCATCCAGGGGGCCCTCAGCCACAGAGGCCCAGTCCATTTCTGCAACTTCCCTCCCTCACAGACCCAGACTCTTCTTGCACACTTCCCGGGATGGGGTACTCACTCCCTCTCCACCAGTTTTGCTGTGGTCAACATCCTCCTCTGTGATGTCTGTGTTCTGTGCATTTTTTCCCACCTGGCCAGCCCCATCCACAGCGACCCTCCCTGCCTGCCCAGAGCCTCTTACCAGCTTCTGCAGGGCGGCCAACTCCTCCGGTAGGTAGCAGAGGCCGGTGCGGTTTAGCTTCAGCCATCGCAGACTAGTCATGGCCTTGACATTCTCAGGGAAGTAGCCACCCTGAGGAGTATGTCGTGGTAAGGCTGGTCTGGGACAGGGTACCCTTGCTCTACCGCCCAGTGGCCCCCACTGCCCACGGAAGCCTTTGAGAGCAACAGTCACCTCTCATTAGCTGTGTGACCCTGGACAAGTCACTCTGCCACTCTATGCCTCGATTTCCTCGCCCACAGAATAGAACTAATAAAGCCCCAATGACAAAAGCGTCGTAAGCAACAACTAATGGTCAGGACGGCTGCTGATCTAGAATCTTTCTCTCTCGCTGTGTTCTCAGCCCCAAAAAACCTTACTCCAGGTGACACCCGCACACCTAGCTGTGTGGTTACATCAGCCAAATGCCTCTGCCTGGCGTCCAGGCCCTGCCTGTGCTCCCACCCTGCCATCAGCATATGTCCACTAGTGGCAAGGTCGACTCCCCTTGTGAGGCCGCAGCGCCCCACCCTGCAGAGGCACAGCCTTATTCGCTAGTTCATTCAGCCCTTTGTTCCCCATATTCAAACGCCCACCTCGGGACCCCCCGCCCTTGTGGTCGGGAGCCTGGGCAGCAAGTGCCTTCAGCGCCCCTGGCTGGTGTCCCCTTCCCCCTCCGGGCACATTCCCAGCAGGTGACTCAGACTCTCCCAGTCTGGAGAGGACACACGGGGACCCCAGGTGAGCATGGTGGGGACGGGGGCAGAGAAAAGTGGCCACCTGTGCCTGGGGTCAAGTGCGCACACGTGGGTTAAACGCAGGAAGGCGGCCTGTCTCCTCGGCCCTGGCCCAAACCCCGACCCCAGCTACAGCCGGGGCCGCGGGACGCTGCCGACCCAGGCTCACGCTACACTGCCCCCAGCCTGAGCCTGCCCACACCCCACCCTGCAGCCTGGACCACCCTCCAGGAGCCAGGCCAACTCTCGGAGCCTCGTCTCTGGTCACCAGCCCTAACCCTGCCATTCTCACTCCCGGGCCTCCAGGACCACTGTGCCCCCCCGTCCCCCCACTGGCTGGAGGGCTGGGCTCGGGTTCCCGGTGGCCCGGGTCAGTCAGTCCAGCAGCTGCTCAGACAAGTGCCACCCAAGCCCTCGCCCAGCTGCTCGACACCAACCTCTCCACAGCAACTAACCCCTGCCTCCAGACGACTAGTTTTAAGCCCCTTCACCGGACGAGAAAGCGAGGCTCGAGGAGGGGAAGTGACTTGCCCAAGGCCACACAAGATGGGGGTGGCAGGCGGGGTCAGGGCAGAGCCGGCGGCGCGGCCGTGAGTCAGGGCCCGGCTTGGGCGTGTGACGTCACAGGGGAGGGGAAGGAGGACTGGGGAGGCGGGAGCAAGAGCTCCGACCCGGGCCACCAGCTGGCCGGGCGGGGCCAGGCGCCAGGCAGGGGCCCGGTGGGGGTTCCCCACGCACCCCGAAGCGGCTCCGAGACCCCGCGTGCGCCTGCCCGGCCCGCCCTGGGTCTCCTTCGCGGGCGCCAGACGGAGACCTAGGGGTGTCGGTTCGGGGCGGGGCCCGGGCGAGCCCGTCCGCGGTCTCGGGCGCGTAGAAAGCGGATGGGCGGGTTGGGGGGTCCGTCCGCCGTCCCGAGGCTCACCTTGAAGTCGTTGCCGCTGAGATCTACGCCGCGCACGAACGGCAACACCCCGGTAGCCTCCATGGCGGCGCTCGGCTGCTGGGAGCGGGGAGCGGGGAGCGGGATGCCGGCGGGGCGGGGCGGGGCGCACGGGGCGGGGAGCGCGGAGCCGGCGGGGCGGGGAGCGCGCTGGCTCCACCCCTCAGCCCGCCGCTGCCCAGCCCTCAGTTCCGGACGCGCCTGGGGCCAGCCCGTGGGGTGCGGGGCCTCGAAGTGCACGGCGCGCCTGTGCCCCGCAGGGCCTTCTCGGCCCGCGGCTCTGTCCCCTTAGCTGGCCGGCGCCCAGGACCCCGGTGGTTCGGGCCCAGGCTCGGACGCGCGGGGGAAGCAGCAAGAGGACGCCCGGGTCCTCGTTCCGAGCCTCGGGCCTCCTTCCGGGAGACGCTCGCTTGGGGGCAGCGCCCGCGCTCCTCGGCGTCCCCGCTCGGAGGCAACCCCCGGGTGCGCAGTTACGTGCCCGCTCGCCCCCCGAGGGAGGCGTCCCCGGGCCGGCACATGGCGGCCCCAGTAGGTGACAGGGCTAGTGTTCCCTTCACGGGAGAGGCGGCTGCAGACCACAGTGACCAAGGGCCCCGCTGGGTGCGTACCCGGCCCGGAAAAGGCTCGCGTCTCTCCTAGCCGCGGCCGGGAGCGCTGCTTTGCTTCTTTAAGACGGAGCGCGCCGGGGAGCTCCGCCCCGAGGAGCGTGCGGCCGCCATTGGCCGAGGCGGCCTCAGGGTGGCACGTGGGCGCGGACCTCGAGCGCTACGATTGGAACCGAGGCCTGCCTGTCTGCGAGCGCCGGGCTCTCGGCCGACCCCGGCCTCGGCGTTCGGCTTCTAGGTCCTCCACGTTCCATTCCTAGGCGGGCCCGTGGCGCGGCCCAAGCGGCCCCCTGCGTACCCAGGCCGGGGCGCCGAAGCAGCGACGCAGGTACGGCCGGGGAACGGGGCGTGGCCTCCGCCCGCCGCGCCGTCCCTGCCAGGAAAGGGGGCACCGGGGAAAAGCCGGGGCCGGGCAGAGGTCGAGTCGCGTCCTGGGTCCATCCCGGCGTTCCCAGGGCCGCGGTGACCCTCGCGGCCGGGGCTTGGAGGAGGGGAGGCCCGGCCTTGCCCTCTCCCCTTCCTGGTTGGGGTCTGCGCGACCCAGCTCAGGCAGGCAGGGTCTTTGAGCGCTTTACAGCTTGGAGGCGGGTGGCAGTACTGATCCCCGACGAGGAAGCCGCCGCGGGGCCACGCTGGGTCACCCCCCGGCCTTCTTAACTATTTTTAGCTTGGGAGCGGGGTGGGGCGGGGTGCGGGGCTGCCGGCCCCACCTGGCAACCGAGCCCGGGCACCCGCCGCGAGCAGGGCGACAGAAGTCCTTGGGGTTGAGTTGGTTCTGAGCTCAGGGTCATCTGTTCGGGCGTCCTCAGCGAGACAGTCCTTCTTGGCCATCTGACTGGTCCCCTGGTCACACCACCTCAGTGCTTGGGACCTGAGGGCAGGTCCCCTGTAAGAATCTGAAGCTGGGGCTTTGGCGCACTGGCCTGGCAGAGGTACCTGCCTTCCCAGCCCCACACTGGGGCTCCTCACGTTGGACCTTTCCTCACCCCACCTGCTCCATCTTACAGATGAGCGAACCTCATCTGGGGCATTCCGGCCCTCAGCTTACCTTCTGTTGCCTGGGCTCCCAGCAGCTGAGGTCGGCTTCCCACCCACCATTGTCCCAAGTACGAGAGGCAAGAGGCCCCTGTCCAGGGCACTGGGCTAGCCCTGTTTGTGGTCTTTAGAGTTACCTTGCTGCAGCGGGGTGTTCAACACTGTCTGGCACTACCTGTTGACAGGAAGCTCCTGCCCCCAGGGCAGCCTGGGCCATCTCACTTGTCCTGTTCTCTGACCTGGTAGCATTGTCTCTGGGGGCTTCCTTGCTGAGATTTGGGGGGCAACTGGCCCCCTGAGCTTCACTGAGGTCCCCCCAAAGGCCTGAGTGGCTGTCCGGGGCAGGCTGCCTGGGACCTCAAGCCGTGGTCTTCTCTGGGCCTTGGTTTCCTCCTGCAGTGCCAGCCCTGGTTAGGAACCAAGATGAGGCCGCTCCTAGGACCTGGCCATAGGAGTGGGTAAGAGTCCAGAGGTTTTGCAGTTGTGGGTCTGAGTCCACAGCACTCGCTGTGTGGGCCAGCAGCCCATTTCCTTGTAGAATGGGGGTGGTGTCGATAAGATCCACCTCATGGTCTTTTGCGACGTCGGGGGGCCTGGAGGGTGGGATGGGGGAGATCATCCCCTTCCTCTGACCTGTCGTGGGCCTTGGGGCCTTTCTCCGTGAGCCCCCATCTGGGGGGGGTTGTTTGCAGCTGCCAATCTCCTCCCAAGAAACTCTGCAAGTGGCCCCTTTCTCCTCAGAAATTCTCAGGAAGGCCCCTTGAGGGCTCGCCTCAGTGATCCCAGCGTGATGGCAGCCAGAGCACCTGCCCTGCTGCCAGGCCGGCCCCCTCGCTGAGCAGTCCCTGCACCCTGGCTCCCTCACAGGCACACTGACCATGGCGGAGTTCTCCCAGAATCGGGGCAAGCGGCGTGACGGCGAGGTGCTGGGCGGTGCTGTGGACTTCCTTCTGGCCAACGCCCGTCTGGTTCTGGGGGTGGGCGGAGCTGCTGTGCTGGGCATTGCCACCCTGGCCGTGAAGCGGGTAAGGCCGGGCTGGCCCGGTGACCCCGGGGCTCCCAGAGCGGGGCGGCGATGGTGGGACTGCCCGAGGCCGCACCTGCCTCTACCCCACCAGCCTGGCTTTGCCCTCGGCTCTGCTGTTCCTGCTCGGGCTTCAGCTGTCTCATCTGTCACTCTGCCTGCAGCTCATCGACAGGGCCACCAGCCCTCGGGATGAGGATGACGCCAAGCGGGACTCCACGTGCCTGGAGGACAGCTGGCAGGAACTGAGCCTGCTCAAGGCCACACCACGCCTCCAGCCCCAGCCTCGGCCCACAGCCCTCAGCCAGCCCGTGCTGCCCCCGGCCCCCTCACCCTCAGCCCCAGGTGAGTGGCACCCCTTCCTGTCTGACCTGGGTGGGTCCCCTTTTGGTGGTCAGGTTCAGGAGATGCAGCCAGGCCCTGCCCCTGACTGACCGTGTGACCCATTTGGGTCCCTCTTCCCCCAGGGCCACGGGCTCCCTGAGTGTTTAATGACGCATTTGTCTGTCCTTCCCCCTCCTGGGTGGTGCCGAGGCTCCAGCCACCAGAACACGTGGACCATGCGGGGTGGCACTGGAGCAAGGTGGCAGCATTAGGACGGCGGGGCCCTCAGATGGGGGCCAGTTTCCCACCCTGCGTGAAGCCGTCTCAGCCTCAGGGCATAGGACGATGAGAACCCGTCATCAAGCGCTCGCTGTGCGTGAGGACCTGAGCTTGGTGCTTTCTCAGGTGGTCACGTTACAGTCCCTCTGACACGACCCCCCCGCTTCACTCTACAGAGGGGCCCGCAGACGCAGATCCCCCGACGTCGCCTCAGCTCTGCTCCCCAGTGCCGTCGGTGTGCCTGACGTTCCAGGAGAAGCTGCTGGCGTTCGAGCGGGACCACGTGACCATGCCAGTGGCCCACGTGGCTCTGGCCAAGCAGCTGGCCGGCGACATTGCCCTGGAGCTGCAGGCCTACCTGCGGAACAAGTTCCCAGAACTGCCCTTCGGGGCACTCATGCCTGGCGGGCCGCTCTACGACGGGCTGCAGGCGGGGGCCGCCGACCCCGTGCGTCTCCTGGTGCCCCTGGTGCTGGAGCCTGGCCTGTGGAGCCTGGTGCCTGGTGTGGACACCGTAGCCCAGGACCCTCGCTGCTGGGCTGTGCGCAGGACTCAGCTGGAGTTCCACCCCCGCGGGAGCAGCCCCTGGGACCGCTTCCTGGTGGGCGGCTACCTCTCCCCCCGGGTCCTGCTGGAGCTGCTCCGCAAGGCCCTGACCGCCTCTGTCAACTGGCCAGCCATCGGCAGCCTCCTCGGGTGCCTGATACGGCCGCACGTGGCCTCGGAGGAACTGCTGCTCGAGGTGCAGCACGAGTGTCTGGAGCTCCCCGTGGCTGTGCTCCTGTCCACTGCCGGCGCCCAGGCCGGAGACCTCCTGCTGGCCTGGCCCCTGGAGGGGCTGGCTGGCAACCTCTGGCTGCAGGACTGGTACCCGGCAGAGGCCGCCCGGCTGCGGGCCCTGGACGAGCGCGACGCTGGGACCCGCCGGCGGCTGCTGCTGCTGCTCTGCGGCGTCTGTCGTGGCCACCCGGCGCTGGGGCGGCTGGGCCGCGGCCCCCTGACCCAGGTGGTTCTGCACCTGGGCGAGCAGGAAGCGGACTGGGCTGAGGAGGCCCTGGCGGAGCACTTCCTGCAGGCCCTGGAGTTGCTCGTCGGCAGCCTGGAGCGGGCCAGCCTGCCCTGCCACTTCAGCCGTGGCGTGAATCTCCTGGACGGCCTGCAGGAAGAGGACATCGACGACATGGGCTGTGCGCTGTACTGGGGCCTGCGGGCCCCCGAGGGGCTGCTCTAGAGGCGCGGGTCCAGGCGCACGCCTCCCTCCAGGGCGTCGAGAGCACCCTGCCCTTGCTTTTACCCCGAACGGGTCAGCGCGAGCTTGGGTGGCCTGCGCTCGCACTCACCCCTCGGCCTCAGGGCCAATCCCAGAGCCTCGGCCCGCGGTAGCCACAGTGAGTCCCGGGCAGGGGTAACGTTGCCTCTGTTTTTCTGTCCCAAGGGTGAGTCACGCTTCCCTCGGGTGCAGGCTCCTTCAGGCTGCTGGTGCTGGGCGGTGGGCATGGCCTTTGGTCCCCCAGGAGCCGAAGTCGCCTGGAACCCTCGGGATGCAGCTTTTGGCTGACTGATAGGCTGGCGTTTTCCATGCTGCGTGTCTGGTTTGCTCTCTAACGTGGGCCAGCGGGGGCTCACCTGGGGGAAGGCCCTTCTCCTCCAGCTGGGGGCACTTTCTCTCCCGGCAGCGGGGGCCCTGGGAGAGCCCCTTCCTCGCTGGGGGAGCTGAGGTTGTGTGTGCTGCCCACCTGGCCCGGAGCTGAGGGTGTCCCCTGGCTGCTGCTGGGCCCAGCCCCCGCGGTGCTGGCACCAGCCACACTGGCTGACTCTGCACTCTCCCTGAAGCTGGCTGGGTCGTGGGGGGAGGTTGTCTGCCTCCCCTCCTAGGTGTCTCTCCTCTCTCTGGTATCCTTTCTGCTGAAGCAAAGCTATGCCTCGAGAACTGTGAACTAGAATAAAAAGGAAAACTTCAAACGTCCACGGGACTCACGTTGGGCTCTTACATGCAGCCACTTGAGGTTCTGTAAAGTTGACCAGAGGAGCTTGGGATCAGCCTGGAGGCAATGGATTGAATTAGAAGAGTCGGTTACGTGGAGGGAGGATGTTACAGGATCCCCAGAGCGATGTCTTGCTTTAGTAACGGAACCAGCAGGCTAGGGTTTTGTTTCTTCTCCAAAGCCTGCCCCCTGGAGCCCCCTGTGCTTTCCGGGACGGGTGGGGCTGCCACACAGCCCTTCGGCCAGCACTGTCAGTGGGCAGAGAAACGTGGCCCCAGAAGTGGAGGGCAGGACCCCACGTCTCGGTGTCCCCGTAGGAGCCATGGCCGTGGCAAACTTCCTGTCACCACACATGGCAGACGAGGCCGGAGAGGGCTTGGGGCCACGTGTGCTGGTGGTGAGGCCACCGCAGCTGTGCCAGGCCTGTGCTGCTTCTCCTTCCCATCCCGTGTGTGTCCCCCTTCCAAGTGGGATTAGGGACAAGAAGTGGGGACAGGCTCGGAGGCCTCCCTTGGTCGAGGGCCAGCACAGGGGCCAGAGGAGGTGCTAGTGTGTACCTCTGGGAGCAGGGCCACAGGTGGCCTCTGCCTCGTGGGTGTTCACACAGTCTCGGTCTCCGAGCACAGAGGGTCACAAGGCAGGAGACTGGCTTCCCCGAGGGCCGTCAGGTCACTTGATTCAGGAGCTTCCTGGCCTGAGTGCTCTCAGCGGTGAGCAGCTGTGATGGCCGCGGAGGGTCAGCAAGGGGGCAGGCTGGAGGCGGGGGCGGCCTGGCCCCCTCCCCTATAAAACAGGGGTTCCAGAATACCTGCTTCACAGGCAGCAGCGGGAGCGTTAACCCAGCACAAAGCGAGGCACCCCTGACCCAGAGGTCCTGGACACAAGGTCCAGCATCACTGAGCCCGAGCGCGCCAGGACTCCGCTGCAGGCCCGTGTCCAACCAAGGTTGGGGGTCTTGGGCGCTGATGGGTGAACGGCTGGCCAGGCGTGGCTTGGGAGCAGTCGGGACGCGAGTGGGTTCAAGGCCCCTCTCAGACCACCCGACCCCACTCGCGGGCCCTCTGGTGGCCTCCTGCTTCAGGTAGGTCTCTGTTTCCCCTCATACCATGATTTCAGTAAGAATAACCCAGAATTAACTAAAGAGGAGACACGAGGTGCTCGGGGAGACATCCCCTGTCCAAGGCCAGCATCTGGCACGCGGTCGTGCTGGGGCCTCCACGGTGGCCGCTGCCCAGCTTCGCTCTCACCCCTTTAATGAGGGCGGTTCTGACTTGGGAGTTGCAGACCCTTCGGCTGAACTGGGCAGTCCTCGTCCCTGGCTTTACCAAGTGACCCGAAGCCAGGAGCACGGCGGTGATTCCACCTGCCAGAGTGAACAGACGGCCGGTGCAGGTGGGAAGAGTAGCGCAAAAGGGCAAATAGACACTCACTGACCTACAGCTTCACCATCTACACCCGTTACAAGGCAGCTCAGCAACGAGTCATTCCGCGCACGAGACGCACCCTTTCTGGGTGAGCAGGAATGAGCAGGACCCCTCAGGACCACTGCGGCCAGTCCATCAAGTGGGCACCACTCGCGCCCCAGAGCTGACCCAGCCAGTGGTATCAGGCCGCGCTCTTACTAAGCAGAAAAAGCCCTGACGAAAGCCTGCACAGGAACACTCTCGCTGAGGGCTGCACACTGCGGGCGAGGCGGGCGCACCGTGCTCAGGTCCCCAGAGGTCTCGCCAAACCTCCTGGTGGTGCTGCAGTCAGCAAGCCAGGCCAGAAAACTACTCCCAAGGCCCGGGGGGGGCCCTGACAGGCGGGGCTGGAGCTGGACGGGAGAGGGAAGCTCTCGGCCCTAGTCCAGGGCCCCTGCCCCACCTCTGTCCTGTCCCCTCCAAGACAGCGGCCTTCAGCCTGGTTTAAGTCACGTGTGTCTGATGCATTTGCATTTTTTTGTCTTTGACCATGCTGTGCAGCATGTGGGATCAGCTCCCGGACCAGGGATGGAGCCCGCACCCCCTGCGTTGGAAGCAGAGTCTTAACCACTGCACCACCACGGAAGTCCCCGCGTTTGCATTTTAAAGTACATTTTTCTTTTGTAGTCAGAAAAAATAATCTTGTAAAAAACCCCAGTAACGTTACAGTTTGGTTGCACTTCGTTTACAGAGGACAGACGCTGAGGCTGTGGGGACAACACCCAAGGCCAGCGCGGGGCACCCGGGACGCTGCTCTGGGTCCTCTTGGCACTGCCGCCCGTTTCCTGAGACAGCAGTTCTGCTCGCGGGGGCCTCAGGCTCACTTGCCTGTGTGACTTCACAGCGAAACTTTCCAGGCCGACCCCGCACCCGCGCCCAGCGCGAACGCTGCTGGTGTAGCAGGGACAGTGCACCCCTAGCCCCTGCGGAGCCGGCCCCTCCCGCCTGCAGGCTGAACGCGGACGCGTCATAGGACCCCCAAATCTGCGGTCCTGGAGGGAAAGGCGGCTGATCCACCCCGGGGGCAGTGGGTCCTCGACCCAGCGTCCTGAGAGGAAAACCCCCTCACAGCTTCCGTCACTGTAACCAGGACGACGGCAACCCTCACCCCCAGAGAGGCCACCAGGCTCCGCAAAGGCACAGCCCAGGAGCACAGCAAGAGGTGGCCAGCAGGACCCCAGTCCCACCCGGCAGCTCTGGTCCTGGTGTGCACAGCAGGACCCTGTGGAAAGACTAAAATCCACAGATGCGTTCAGCATCGTTCAACTCAACAACAAAAGCACAAACACTGAAAAATGGGCAAAGGACTTGAAAAGGCATTTCTGCAAAGATACGTGAAAGGCCACGTGACCACTGAAAGGATGCTCGACTTCAGTGGTCATTAGGAAGATGCAAGTCAGAGCCATGAGACACCACCTCAGGCCCACGAGGATAGCCACAATTAAAAGAAAAAAAGGGGGGGGCTTCCCTGGTGGCGCAGTGGTTAAGAATCTGCCTGCTAACGCAGGGGACACAGGTTCGAGCCCTGGTCTGGGAAGATCCCACATGCCGCGGAGCAACTAAGCCCGTGCACCACAACTACTAAGCCTGCGCTCTGGAGCCCGCGAGTTACAACTAGTGAAACCCGCACACCTAGAGCCCGTGCTCCGCAACAAGAGAAGCCACCACGAAGAGAAGCCCGCGCACCGCAACAAAGAGTAGCCCCCGCTCGCCACAGCTAGAAAAAGCCCGCGCACAGCAACAAAGACCCAACGCAGCCAAAAATAAACAAATTTATAAAAAAAAAAAGAAAAAGGGGGAAATAAGTACTAGCAAGGATGTGGAGAAATAGGAACCCTCGTACATTGCTGGTGAGAATGTAAAATGGTGCAGATGTTATGGTTCTTCAAAAAATTAAACAGAACTTCACGACCCAGCAACTCCACTCCTAGGTGTAGATCTGAAAGAATATAGAACAGGCGTTCAAATACTTGTACGTGAAGGTTTACAGCCACACTGCTCACAACGGGGCCCATGCACACAGCGGACTAGTTCAGCTGTAAAAAGGCACAAAACACCGACACGCAACCACAGGGGTGACCCTGGAAGACACGCCACTCAGAGAAAAGCAGACACACAGCCCATGTGCCGCATGGTTCCGTCTATATGAAATGTCCGGCACACGTACAACCACAAAGTAGACTGGGCTGCGGGGCCGACCCACACCCACTGTCCTGATGCTCCAGGGGCAACTGCGGGCATCCCGCCCCCCAGCCAGGGCACAAGGACTGGTCTGAGTGAAGGGTTTGGGGCTGGGAGTCCCAAGACCTGAGAACAGTTCATTTCTTCACTAGCAGGATGACTCTGGCAGCCTGTCCTCCAGCTTGCTGTCTAAACCACGGAACGAAGCCGACCTGCTTCTGCTCGGCTCCCAAGGCTCTCAGGAGGCGGGTGAGACGCACAGAGACCTCTGCAGGGTGTGGAGATGGGAAGCGTCGGAATCTTGCACCGGCGGCTCTTCTCTGCCCCAGAGGACAGCGGTGCGGCCGGGGGAGGCCACTGGGGCCAGAGGATGGCAAGAGGACCCAGGCACTGCCCGGGGTCCTGCAAGTACCTGTCACTCCTGCCAACTCTCACCAGACGCTACACCATCACCCGCCAGGGTCAAGGGGTAGAATCCTTTATTGAGGCACATGAGCTGTGGGGCGTCCTGGCCACAGCAGCTTTGAGATAAAGAGGGATAACCCTTCTGTAGACACAACTTCTGAACAGGGGATCCCTGCCATCCTACCCTTTCTCAGGACGTCTGTGGAGGGAGGCCCCTCAAGGGCCGGGCTGATTCCCGCTAGGGTGCCGACAGCACAGCCCCTGTGGATCGCAGGGGGCAGCCTCCATGGCTTCTCAGCTGTGGCCATGGCCGTTCCTGAGCCCCAGACACAGGGCCACTGTCCACCAGGCGTGGCCTTCTTGAGAGAGCGGTCTGGACCCGGACTCCTTAGAACACAGGTCACACTCCAAGAGCAGCCACTTTCCTCAAAGCCGCCCTGCAGAAACAGCTCGTTTCCCGAGACAAAAGCAGCAGGTGGAGGCAGTGGCCCCCTTGGCCCTACCCTGCTCTCATCTGTTCTGAGGACAGAAGGGACGGGTGTGTCCAGGCTGGTGGCAAAGGCTGCACTTCCGGGGTTTCTTGGCCGCGGACCCGGCGTCCGAGGAACCAGCCCGGGCCCTTTTGCTTCTGGCCTCCGGCCCCTGGCTTCCTCCTCTGGCTCCTGCCCAGGGGGGGCCTCCAAAGGTCCCTGCGGGGAGAGCGAGGGGAGAAATGAGTGTGGACGGCAGAGCCCCAGCCCTGGTAGGGGGCCCGTGTCACCTACACGCAGAAGCAGGGACCAAGCAAGCAGCCCCCTGAGTGTGTGCAGAGTCCGAGCTCTGGGCCCTTCCAGTCCTCCAAGAGCCTCACAGTACTGGCCGCCCCATCACCCAGGACAAATGACCAGGCGGCCCAGACACCACCTCCGCCCACCGGGAGCCCTTGTGAGTCTGCCGTGTGCGCCAAAGGACAACATCCCGCAGGGCACTAGCGTCTCCAGCCTCCGCCTGCCCCAAGCCTCTGGGTTCTCCCTGTGTGTGCAGACCTGCCGCACGTGTGCTAGAGTCACAGTTTCAGGCTAACAGAGACCCTAGAAAGGTAGGCAGGTGCCCATCTTATGGAGGAAACAGGCTGAGAAGCCGCACCAAGTGGTTCAAGGTCACACAGGTGGGCCCCAAGAGAAAGCTCCCGCCAGGCTCCCTCAGATGCGTGACCAGGCTTCTGCGTGTCCTGGAGGGGCCAGGTGCCTTCAGGTGCGTCATTTACCTTGACCCAGCGTCTGGCAGCGGTCCTCCCCACACCCATCCGTGGGGTGCCAACCCAAGCTGTGTAACCCAGGGCAGGAACCAGATATCAGGGCCAGGGCCTCCGTCTTACAGGATGAGGCTCCGATACAGAGCCTTCCAGGTTTACAAAGGCGGGAGGAGTGCAGGGCTACAGGAGCAGGCGGACCCAGGAGCCAGGCCTGGGCCGTGTCGCTGTGTGACCCCGACAGGTCCCGCCACCCGTCTGGGTCTCGCCCTCCTCTCCTGTGAGTCGCAATCACAACCGCCACCCGATGAACGTGAGGGAAGACACACAGATACAACGGCATGGCGCCGGGCACACAGCAAGCTGCCCGTGACCTTGCAGGAGGTGTGACTGAGCGGGGAGGGGGAGCAAGGCAACCCGTGCCCCCCCACTCCACCGCCCCTGCCCTCCTCGGGCAGGCCCCGTGTACCCCCTCACCTGGGGCCACGTTCTCGTCCACCCACTGGAAGAAGCCGCACTGCTGCTCCCGGGGCTTGGCGCACGTGTGGAACTGGCGCCCCTTGTTGGGCCCGTCCTTCTGCACAGTGCGCGTGACAGCGGGCTGGCTGCACAGGCAGCACGCCCCACCGCCACCATCACCGGGGCTTCCGGGCCCGCCCAGGGGCTTCCCTGAGCCCAGCGGGCGTCCCAGTGAGCCGCCCGGGGGTCTGGGCGCCTCGGAGGGAGGCCCCCCTGCTTCTGGGTGGCCACTGTCGGCCCAGAGGAAGAAGCTGCAGCCGCCGCCGCTGCACTTGTAGAACTGGCGGCCCTGGTTGGGCCCCTCCTTCCGGACGGTGAGCAGCAGGGCCTCCCGGCCACAGTTGCAGGTCACGGAGTTGCCTTCGCCCTCGGCGGCGGGCAGGGGCGCAGTCCTGGCCAGAGCCGGCTGGGGGCGGCCATGCTGGCTGCTGCCCATTCTGTCCAGGGGCTGGCTGGCCTGCAGGTGGCCGGAGGGCTGGCTGACCGGCTGGCCAGCTCGGGCGGGCCCCCGTGAAAACCTGAGGTCCAAGATCTCCCTCAGGGTCTCGTCACATCCACCAACGCAGCCGACAAATTCCAGTGGCATGGCTGGGGGAAGGCTGCCTCGCTTAAACTTGAACTTCAACCTAGTGAGGCCAGAAGATGAGAAAACACGTTAACTACCGGGTGCAAGTCTTCTTGGTCCACACAGGGCTGTGCCCACCCCACCTAGGAAAGCCACGCAAGGCGCAGCCAGCCCGGCCCCTACGGTCGCACAGGAGCGCAGAGCAGGAGGGAGATGAGCTCTAAGGCCCATCACCCGCCAGAACCCAGGAGCCTCTGGAAGGTGCGCCTCCCTGTGCCCCAGTTCAGCGTGGTCCAGGCCTCTCAACGTGACGGCACACTACTTGGTAGCGGCACTAGGACGCACGCGGGCTTTGCTCTCATTCTCCTGTGTGCATGCATTAGGGTTTTCCAGAAGCTCCGAAATGCACAGTAAACTCAGCAGACTGACTGCAGATGGAGAGCTGAGAATCCTACCGTCTCCTGTTAAGCCAGACCGTTAAATTGGCAAAAATGGAAAACAATGCAATCTTCCTCTCGTTTTTTTTTTTTTTAAATAACTACATTTTATCCTAAAAATATGTTCACTTATGTTAGTATGGAATGCATTTGTTACAAACACGTTATTAAACATTTTAAACGATGCCTCCACTTTAGCTGAAAACGTGGTAGAATCTTTATAAACATTAACTCACAACGGAAGCTCTCTGGGTTCCTCCGTGATTTCTGAGAGTGTGAGGGGTCCCATGACCAAAGGTCTGGGGACCAGCCCTAGGCGCGGGCCTGGGGCTTTCTGGAGGAGACCACCTTCCTCAGCCTCCACGTCAGCCCACGGTGGGAGAGGCGGGGAAAGGTCGGGCTCCTCCAGGAGGTGCCAAGGAATGAGGGCCCCCAGGCATGCCACCCTGTGCCCATCCTGCAGGTGCCTCGGCCCCCAGCTCACCTGTAAACGGGGTGTGGCTGACACACTGGACACACGCTCCCGTCCCTGCTGGCCTCCAGCACACTGTCTGGGAACCACACGGCCGAGCGACATTCCGGGAACCCCGTGCAGCTGAGGTAGAACCTGGGGAGTGAGGGCCAGGGTCACGCAAGAGCTGCCGGAGACAGCTCCAGCTGATGACATGGGACACTCATGGTTCTGGAAGACACGGTGGTCACTGACACTGAGTGACAGGAAAACCAGCCTGCATTTACGTCCCTGAAATCCCCACAGTCACACTGCTGATGCCTCTTCCTGCTTAAAAACAACCAAGCCGCTGCCAGCGCCCAGACCACGGCAGGGCCCCGCTGGCCCCTGGGTGCTCCCTGAGCCCGCCTAGGCCTCCAGCAGCCTGGACACCTGCCCAGGCTGCAGAGAATCCGATCCTCACCCTCCCTGCAGCTTTGTGAGGAGGAAAACGGGCTCAGTGGGTCAGCAACCAGTGGGGTCTGCATCGCCGTCCACACACAGGGCGAGCGCCATCCATCCCCAGGGGACAAGCCCCGCCCTCACCAGCCCCCCACCCGCCCATTCCCACAGGGCCTCACACCCCCAGGGCCACCATTCCAGCCCCAACACCCAGTCCAGGGGCTGGTGAAGCAGGCCTGCATCTAAATAGCAACGTGGGAACAAAAGGATGGGCCCTGCACAGCCTCCGGTGCTGGGCTGCAGGGGTGGGGCGGGGCGGGGCGGGGCGGGGCGGGGGCCGGGAGGGGAAGGCACAGCTGGGCACTGACCCGCCGCTCTTCCTGGTCTTGAGGACCATGTCCTTGCCGCACTGTGGGCACTTCCTGACGGGCTCTGGCACAGCTGGGAAGATGGCTTCTTGCTGGGCCAGCTCCACCCCTGCCCCAAAGTACTGGGACAAGGCCTCGTCCAACCTGAAGAACCAGCAGAGCATTTACTGCGTGAGCACGCACGACCCGGGGAGCCGGCCAGTCAGCCAGAGGCCTGAGGCGGAGCACCGGGAACAGGGCGCCGTGCTGGCCAAGCGGCCGGCTCCTCCAACCCGCGGCTCCCGGGAGGGATCCAGCCGCAGGCAGGCGCTTCTGCCTCGCCACTAGCCCCACAGCAAGCAAACAAGACAGCCCGGCCGCGCACACACCTGAGTGTGGGTCTGGAATCAAGTTTAAACTACCACATGCATTTCTTTTCAAAATTGGTACGGGGTTAGGAAACGTGTTACTTCTAACAGAATACACACATGCTACTTATTACAGCCACCTCCCAGCACCCTAGAGAACAGCGGGGTGCACACCAGCACCCGGTGAACCCACCCACGAGGCTGTGCAGCCTGCTAACTCAGGACAGGATGGAAAGGGCGTTTCCAAAGCCAACAGCCCAGAGAAACTGGACCAGGTCTTTCTGGTTACGGTCTCCAGACTGGCAAGGCTCTGCAGCAGGAACCAGCCAAACCCGGGAGGAAAGCCTGGAGGGGCCGTGGCCACTGGCGAGGGTGAGCTGCCTGGCGGGAACAGCGGCATCTGGGGCACGCCGTCACCGGGGCTGAGCGGGCTTGCACAGGAGAGCAGGCCCGTACTCACCTCTGGGCTTTGGCCATGGCTTCGATGAAGACCTGCTTGTACTTCTGCACCTGCTGCTGCAGGACCACGAGCTTGTCCTTCTTCCCCTCGCAGATGAGCTTCAGGTCAGCCTCCAGCTCGGCCCGCAGGTCAGGCTTGGACATCTCGTAGCCCATGGAGTCATAGCCTGTGAACAAGGGCAGCATCGTGCGGCTCAGACACACCCGCGGGGCTTCAGTGACACCCCGCCCTCTGCCCAAGCTCGAGCCCCCGGCTCCTCACCTTCCACAAGCCCCATGCCCAGGTGCCCGGGGAGAAAGCGCTTGTCTGGCGTGAGCCCAACGTACATCCGGGCCTTGATGGTCTCGATGTGCTCCGCGTGCGTCGCGTCGGTACCTGCAGGCCACCCTTATCACTCAGACTAACCCACGCCCCAACTCCGCACAGCCCCCCTCCTCTGCCTGGACTTCCTGTTGCAGGTGACACACCTCCACTCAGAGCCGGCCACGTGGAAACCACAACAGCAGCCTCCTCTCCCTCACGTCCACGCACTCCAGCTGTCAAGCCCAGCTTGGAAATCCCTTCTGTAAGCCCCCCTGCCCCCCGCCACGTGTCAGGGTCCACATCATTACAACGTCCCTGGTCTCCTGGCTGCTGGTCTCTTCCTTCACCCAGCCTATTCTTTATGCCACAATCACAGGGATCTTCTGAAATGTAGCTCTGCCACCAACGAAATGCAAATCAAAACCACAAAGATATACCACTTCACTCTTACTGGGACACGTACAACCCAAAAGACAGAGAGCGGCAAATGTTGGTGAAACCCCTGACTCTTGCATGGATTGTAAGATGGTGCAGCCACCATGGAAAACAGTCTGGAGGATCCTCATAGTGTTAAACACAGAGTCACCATGTGACCCCTCAATTCTGCAACAGGGATGTACCCAAGAGAACTGAAATCATGTCCACACAAGAACCTCTACACAAATATTCATAGCAGCACTATTCACAGGAACAAAAAACTAGAAACAACCCAAATGTCCATAAGTTGATGAATGGATAAACGAAACGTTGTCCATCCACACGACGGAAGAGGTCTGGTGGTGAAAAGGAATGAAGCACTGAGACACGCTACCTGGACGAGCCCGCAGAGCAGGCAACGTGGGACGCCAGGTGCAGAAGGCCACACACTATGTCGTTCATTGATAAGAAATGTCTAGGACAGGCACATCCACTGAGGCAGAAAGATGAGGGCTGGGGGGCTGCAGGGGAGGGGGACAGCTAACGGGCATGGGGCTTCTGAGGTGATTAAAATGCTCTGAAATGGACTGTGGCCACGGCTGCACAATTGCATGAATCTACTGAACACTGGACTGTACCTCTGAGCTCAGTAGAGTGGACGGTGTGTGAATTATGTCTCAATAAAGCTGTTACCACTGTTTCAATGTAGGTAAGCTCCTTTCTTAGAAATCTCAGGCGGCTCTCTGCTGACCTCGGGCACATCCGAGCCCCTGAGCCCAGTGTCCAGGCCCCGCAGAGTCGGGCTCAAATCACCTTTCCGGCCTTGCCTTCCAGAACCTCCCCCCGCAGCATGTGCCTGCCGGTCTCCGCGTCCTTCCTCAGGCCCTGCCTTCATTCAGCGCGAGTTCTCACCACGAGGTTCTGAGGTCCCTGCAGAACCTCTCCCGATGCATCTAATGTTTTGGTTGGGTTTGTTTCTCCTGCTGGATGAGCCCTTGAAGGGAAGGACCAGGCCTCATTACTATGTCCCCAGGGTCTAGACCAAGGTCAGCTCTTATGGACCAAAGTTTTTATAAACAAATTATGGTGGGTGAACTACCTCTACTTGTACCTAAACCCACAGGCTTTCTGGGTAGCACAGTGATGGCCAGTGGGCTCCAGGAAGGGGCACAAAACTCACTCTGCAGTGAGGCGGCTGTGCCTGGGGGCCGCCCCTCCACATGCGCCCCCAGCCCTGTGGTGCTGGCCCTTCTGGACTCAGCTGCCAGAGGTAATCCTTGAGATTGCAGAGCAGTGGTGAAAACTGAGGGGGGAAGCAGATCACTCACAAGGGACCCACCTGCAAAGCCTGGGCCACGGGACTTATTGGGAAAAACAATTCTGGCCCAGTTTTTTTTTTTTTTAATCCAACTTCTGATTCTTAAACAATTATGGGAAATGCTTTAACAGAAGCTAAGCAAACGGCCACCCATGGCAAAGGGCGGGTGGCAGACTCAGACTCTGAAGGGCCCAGCACGTGCCAAGCAGGTGAGCGAAGCCAAGCGTGAGCGACAGAAAACGGCCACCACTCAAGGCTGCCAGACCTCCCGATGCTTCAAAAGAGTGTTTACGTGAATCCTGGCAGGTTAAATGTTAGTACCTTGTTAAGAATACAACAAAAACAACAAATTCCTGTGTGGGCCAAAAATACCAGTCAGTGTGTCCCAGGTGAGACTCCCGAGTAATGGGAAACACCTGTGTCCCTATGCGGTGGTGCAGGGCAGTGGTTAAGGGCACCGGCTGCAGCGTTATCTGGACCCAGGTGTTCACAGCTCACACACTTTGTGACCTGAGGCAAGTTCTTAACTGCTCTTAAGCTTCCCTTTAGCTACAAAGTGGGGAGGAGAACACAGCCCCCTGGTTAGATCTGTCGTGAAGATCAGAGGAGAACTGGGCCCCACACCCACGAGAGGGCAAGAGCCGCTGGTTACCATGATGACAAGCTACTTACCGATGCCGTGCTTCTCCATGAGGGCAATAAGGTCGGCCTCAGTGAGCAGCTGGGGTGGACTGGTCTCCCCGTCCACCATCTCCACGGTGCTGGGCTGAAAGCAGGAGCCTCGACTGTAGACAGGGAGGGTCTACATAGGGCAGCAGATGTGGTGGTCAGACCCCTGCCCGGCACCCACGCACAGACCACACGCTCTGTTCTGTCACGTGGTGCGGGGGCCGGGAGCACGACGGTCCCCCCTCCCCGCTGTGTCACCTTTTCACTCCAGCGATCGTAGGGGTACACGTCCAGATAGTTTCGGGCCAGGATTACGAGGCCGTGGGCCACGAAGCGCTCCTGCGCGATGTCAATCTCCACGGTGGTCTCCTGGCCCTGGGCATCCTGGGAGCAGCAGGCCAGGAAGTGGCGGACGATGAGCTCGTACAGTCGCTGCTCGTCCCCCTGTGGGGAGAAGAGGAGCCCTAGTCCCTCTAGACGCTGCCGGCAGTTCAGTCTGGCTGGTGCTAGCTTCCAGCCCAAAGCTCCACACACAACAGAGCGCAGCTCCTGCAGCCCCGTGCCCACGTGCAGTGTAGGCAAATCCCTCGCTGCTTGTGGGTTTAGGCCAATAAACTTCACAAGTGGAGTCCCCTTGCCATCAAGACTGGAAAGCAACTCCTCTGATGTAAACCCAGTCTGAGCAGAAACCAAAGCGAAAGCATCCAGTTTCCAAGAGGCCCAGTGTGTGTAGGACACACAGACTAAAGATGCACCGGCAGCCTCAGGCCTATCACAGGGCTCGTGGTCATCCTCCACCCTTTCGGGAACAAGGACATAGTGAAGCCCCTCTATCAGAACCCTGTAAGACGTTCATACTGATATCCGAAAGTTCTCCTTCTAAGAATGTCTTCAAAGGAAATGTGACATCCACATAAATATCTATTATGCAAATGTTAACTGCAGTAGATCACCCTTTAAAAACAGATCTAGCAAAATACAGTACCTCTATGCAATCATTATATACCATACGTTAAAATATTTTAGCCTGTGGGGAAATACTCATGATATAAAACAGAAAACATTAGTTTACAAAGTTGTTTAAGGTTATAACTTAGTTGTAAGAATTATATACACACAGAGGATAAAAACGTGGTTCTCAGGAAATGGTGAGATTACAGGCAATTTTTTACTTCCTTATAATCTTTTTTACTTTGTGAATTGTCTAAAATAAACATGTATGGCTTTCAGAATCAGAAAGAACGTGTGTTATTAGAGGAAGAACAAAACAATAAGCCTGCAGCCGCCAAGCAGGCCTCAGCAGCCGTGGCCCCTGGAGCGTATGCCTGGCTGAGAGCACGGCTGGCCCGTGTTACAGGCTCCAGGCGCTGGGTGAGAAAGCCCCCAGCCCGGAGTGCGGCCGGAGGGTGGCGGTGAAGTTTCGGGAAGGTGACGGAAACCGGCCCGGTCTTGGGAGGAGAAGAGTGGGGGCCGAGCACGGGCTCAGGGAAGGGGCCACCTGTTTGTGGTGAAGGTCAGGGCAGCAGCAGAGGGAGGGGACGGAGTGCAGGGGAGGGCTGGATGGAGCAGAGCCCCCACGGGGGTCTCTCGGGAAGCCAAGCACAGACTGTGGGAGGAGGATGTTGACACGACCTCTTTTCTGAGATGGAAATTTCGAAAACACTTAGCTCCGAAAGACAGAGCCCGCAGAGTAGATTCAAACCCCAGCCCTGACCCCTGACCTCCCTGCGGGTTCTGCGGCAGCACAGCCAGGGAAACCAACCTGCAGGCTGTCCGTGTACTTGGTGGGGTGGATGGGAGGGTGAGCTTGGTCAGACTTGTTCCCGTTGCGTGGAGTGGGGCCGCCCCGCTCTAGAATGCTCTGGGCGAAGGGCCCCCAGCGTGGATCGTGGGTCTGTTCCTCCACCAGTGCGGTCAGGTCTAAGTCTTTGGGGAAAATGTTTGTTTCAGTTCGGGGATAGCTGATGTACCTAAACAAAGCCAAACAAACAACAAGAAATTGCTGAATTGGTCTATAAACGATTAAGTCAGCTTGAGAACACTGGTGACACCCGCAACAGCCCGTCTGATGCAGGCAACTACGTTACCCACGCTGGGGAAAGCCCTGAGACGTGACCCCCGCAGTGGGTGAGGAGCAACAGGCGTCCTGCTGGGTCGCTCCCGGCGGTCGGGGACAGAGGCAAGGGCACGCCTGCTCCAGCCCAGCCCTCCTGTCCCCGGGGCGCTTGGGGCACTTCCCCACCTCCCCATCATGGGTGGACAGAACGACCCCAGGACAAGCCCTGCGGTCCTGACCCGGGCGGCCCATGCTCCGTGGCTCGTCTTAAAGAAGAGAAAGAACGATGCTGCCCCTGAACTACAGGGTGGACCCTGTGTGTAATTTTAAACATTCCATTAGCCACTTAAACATTACTGGGACAATTTACATCCTTTTCTCACACGAGCCTTCAAAACGCATTATGTTTACGCTCTCAGCACGTCCCAGTGTGGACAACCCAAATTTCACGTGCTCGACAGCCACTTACGGCGAGTGGCTGCCACACGGGTCAGCGTGGCCACACTGTCCCTGGATGGCACTGGGTGCTCACGGCCCCCAAGGCAGGATGCTTTACAGCAGGCACACGAGTCCTAAAGGTGCCACCCGCCCCTGCCAGGGCCCCGGCGCCCCGCCTGCTGAGAGGTCGAGAGTGGGATTTGAGTTTACTCTGTGGAGTGTTATTTTAGGATTTGAGTGACTTTGAAATGCCTTTTCCATCAGAAAAGAGAAGTCAATGTCAAAATTCCTCTACTTGAGAGCCAGGTGATATCTAGACAGTCTGGTTTCCTCATAAGCTCTATTTCTAAAATATTTCACCCTGATAAAGATGCATCAAACTCTCTTCCCAAATGTGGGCGAATATTTACCCTTGAGTGTAGAGCTTTTCAGCAATCCTCATGGTTTCTTTAGCATTTATCCTCAACTTTCGAGAAGCCAACTTCTCAAGCTCCTGTAAGATGTGTGGACAGGCACAGTGCATGAGTCACAGGCCCCCAAACGCCCACACACCTCCTCTTCAGAACTTCCTGGCGTCCCTCCAGCTGCTCTCACACGTCTGCGTGAAAGGCTGTGCTGCGGAAAGGTTTCTGGGACTGCTGGGCAGAGCCAGGCCCCAGCCCAGGGGTTCCCAGACTCCAATGTGCAGAAGCCAGAATCACCTGGGATGCGAGCAGGCTCCTGGGCCCGAGCACTAGGGGTTCTGAGAGAGGAGGGCCAGCACAGAGGCTGGGAATCTGCGCTTTTAACAAGCATCTAAAGTATCGATTCTAATGCCAGCAGTCTGAGACCCGCACTTTGGGGCCACCATCTGAACCCCGGGGACATCCCCTGGGTGATGAACGCCATTCTTCCAAGCCTCGTGGGGGATCACCAGATGTCCCTTCCCCTTGGCGACCCTCTGACAATGCTGCTGGCTACACGTGAAAGCGTATTAACCAGTGAGGGATGAAACACTCATGCCTACTGTACACAATCAATCCGTAACCCCCTCCCATCGTCCCTCACCACGCGCGTGCACACACACACACACACACGCCCACCCCGCGATAAAGGGTGCACTGCCCACCAGTCCCGGCATGTTCTGCATGTTCAACCTTCAGAGGCGACCCCAACAGTAATTACACCCTGAACTTTCCTACAGAGTGGTGACTGGGAAGGGACACCCTAATGTGGTTTATTCAGACTTGTGTCCCGCTGGGTGGTTCTTCTTGGGATCAAAAAGATCTCAGAAGCCCTGTTCTAGGGTAGGCTAATAAAGTAGATATTTAAAATGATGTTTACGTACATTGTGCAAAAACGTTAAAGAAAATGCTCGGGTGGAAAACACTAACTATTCCAGTAATGCTGTAAAAAAATAAGGACACCGAAAAAAAAGGAAGACACCAAAATTACATCAGCAATTACCTAAAGATGGAGAGGTGATGGGTGATTTCTATTCCTTGTTTCCAAAACCCCACATAGAGCAGTTATATCGCGTTTATTAGCTGATGTAAGAGGTCAGGCAGGCATGCGCTCTGGGGCTTCTACTTCTCCTAAGAGCGTTCCTGTGTGGCACTGGGAAGCGGTGCTCCCGGCCACTGGGCCCCACCCTCCGCAGCAGAAGCCCCACCCCAGCCGCAGAAGTCGGAGCTCCTCAGGGCTGGCACAGACCCCAAGAACATACCACAGTGTCCAAAGCTTGAGGCCTCCACTTGCTTTTTGCCTTGGACCTGACCTCCACCACGGTCGCCCTGGGATCCTAGAAAGCCAGGAAAAGCAGAGGCCACTTAAACCTGCTGGAGCATCCTCCCAGCTTTCCTTGGCCGCCCCCGGCACTGCCCACAGCAGCCCTGCTCCCCACCTCAAGACGTCAGCTTGCAGCCCACAGTGTGCTGGACACCAGCACCTGCTTCTCACTCAAAGTAAGGCTCTGAGGGGCAAGTTCACAAGCCCCAAGGCATCCACTCCAGAGCCTTCGCATCTCCTTAGTTTCCTGTCTACGCATGCACAGTGTTACTGTTTTGGTTTTTTTTTTTTTAATTCACGACAATACAGAGCTGGAAATAGGAGAAGTTACATAATACAAACTGGAGAACTCTAATCTTAAGACCAACCTCACATTTTTAAGGGAATGCAAAAGGATAAAGAACTCAGCTTAAGTGATTTCTTCATGAGGATATTTACAAATCAAAACCCAAATTTCTCTCTGCAAATAGACTGCGGACCAGGTGCTCTTGGACAAGGAGCTCCAAGCACCCCACCTGCCATGTTTCCCTGCACCACATCCTGGTAAAGCAGAAAACGGGCAAGTCTTTTTATCCAACAGACAAATGTGCAGACTGTGTAACCCTGAGGGCCAAAGGGTGGAGCAGTGGACAGGTGGGGCGACCCGAGAGGCAGCGTGGTCTGCAGGAGCTGTCCGAGCTCGGGCCCCACTAGCTCGAGTGTGTCTGCACAGTTACTCAACTTTCTCCAGCTTCCCCGCCTGTGGCATGGGTTGGCATTACCACCCCCAGAAGCACCACCAGGACCGAACAAATAACACGTAACATACAGCGCGTCTGGCCTGTAGCAGGTGCGCAAGTTATTACTCCCCGATACCAAGTCAGTACTAAACCTGCCGGGGGCCAGAGCCAAGAGGCATCCCTGACTCACTAAACCTAGAGGCCTCTGAGTTTTATTCAGGTACCACCGCGTGCAGCCCCTGGGTTAAAACAGGCCATCGTGTGCTGAGCGACGGGAAGCAGCACCACAGAGTGGACGTCTTGAGGGTGGATCAGACACTGACTGGCCTGCGGCCTGAGCAGGTCTCGATCCTCCCACGGCCATCGCTGCTGACCACTCCCACCTTCACTCGGCGGTCACCCTGGGATGCCTTTCTCGAGTCCCAGCCCTAGAGCAGTCCCTCCCCGCCCCTGGCCCTTCTCCGTTCCTTTACCCTACTTTCCTGTCCTGTCGTTATCGCTGTATGACATTCACTCATCTGTGCCTTTCACGTCTCTGGATTTCATCATCTGACCAGTGGAAGGCGCTGGGCCAGACGCCATCTAGCTCCACCCAGCTCTAGGATTCGGGTTTGGACTGGCCCAGCTGTTCCTTATCAGTCTCTGGTGTCAGGGTACTGCTTCACGAGGGATTTTAACTATGTGTTTCTTAGCATTTCTGGTTTCACCTAAAAGTTCTACAGGTCTTTCCTTCCACATTTCTAGTGCTGTTTTCATGGGGTTCTAGTCTTACTGGCACCCAGAAAGTGATGTCCTGGATGCAGACTGAAAGCTACAGTCTGGTGGGAAATGGGGCAGAGAGGGAGCGGCCTGGGAAATCACAGGATGGTTTTCCGAGATCATCACCTGCAGAGCCCTTCTCACCTCCATGCACAGCTGATAGAGGACAAGACAAGCCGTGTGGTTGAAAAGCCGATGCCTTTTCCAGCTGAACTCCACTGCGCCATCCCTGTGGTCGTGGGTCACTGTGGGGGCACACAGGAAGGCCGTGGCCCGGAGGGGAAAAGGCCCATCACGGTGGAAGCCAAGAGCCGTGAGACAGAGGAAACCACCTCGGACACTTGAGGTGGGTCCTGAACACAGTGACGAGGGGGTCAAGGGCAGCGAGATGCAAACCACACCCTGAATTAGCACCCAGGACTCCCCACGTGCCCTCAGCTTCTGCACCCCGAGTGGCCTCACCTCTGATTTTGTGGAAGGTTTCTGGCACAAACGCCTGAATGGCTTTGAACCTCTCCACCACGAACCCCAGGGTGGGGAACTGGCAGCTGCCATAACTGATCAGCTGCTCCGCCAACACCTCAGGAAAGATCTTCTGCAGCCGCAGGGTCTGGAACCTGGTGAAGGCAGCCCCTGAGGAGAGAGGACAGAGGGAAGCAAGGAGAGGCCGAGCACTGCAAGGTCACAGCCAGCTGCCACCGTCTGAGCCCGAGTCCTGCCCCCTGCCCACCACCCCACCCCTCACCGATCCGCAGGTCCAGCTCCTGCCTCACGTCCACGGCGTCGCTCACTCTGCGGTCGGGCTCCATCAGGTTTTCACAGGCCGCCTGGACAGCGCGGGCGGTGATCTCGGAGAAACGGGCTCGCAGCACCTGCAGGCTGGGCTTCACTGCGGAACAGACAAGGGCACCGGGGCAGGTCCCCCGTGAACGGAGGGTAAACCAGTTCATGAAGCTGCGAGGCAGCCAGTTTGACTGGTTCAGTTAAATCAGAGACATGCTATCTAAGAGGGAAGCCTCACTGTAACCAGGCTGAGAGGGTCAGAAACAGGAGCGAGTGCATCTCAGCCATTAGCTAAACCCTCTCCGTGAGCCCTTCTAGGTGTCACTCTCGCGCTCTCCTGGGCCTTTAGGGAAAAGGGAGATGTTAATTAAAAGGTCCTGGGGGAAGTTCACGTCCTGTTATGGATATCACACAGGACATGCACACTGTCCCTGAGAGTGAATACTGAATATATTTAATCCTAGGAGTCGGTATAGTTTGAAACACAAGGGCATTTAGGGAGAAGAGCAGCCCCCCACTCTCTGAAGCCCGAGAATGGCCTGCATGTCACTTCCTCTAAGTTACCTGAAATCATTAAGCTCACTTCAACAGTTATTAGTGTTCAGGCATTGTACAAGGAATATAGACAATTAAAAAACAAAACCAGAAAGAACATTCTAGAACTATTCTTTGTATTTTACGTACAGTGTATACATTCTTTGTGAATATTTAAGTTTTTAATTAATTAATTAATTTTGGCCGTGTTGGGTCTTCGTTGCTGGGCATGGGCTTTCTCTAGTTCCGGCGAGCAGGGGCTACTCCTCGTTGTGATGCAGCTTCTCGTTACGGTGGCTTCTCTTGTTGTGGGGCACGGGCTCTAGGGCACATGGGTTTCAGTAGTTGCAGCACACGGGCTCAGTAGTTGTGGCTCGCGGGCTCTAGAGCACAGGCTCAGTAGTTGTGGTGCACGGGCTTACCTGCTCCGCGGCATGTGGGATCTTCCAGGACGAGGGCTCGAACCTGTCTCCCCTGCGTTGGCAGGCGGATCCTTAACTACTGTGCCACCAGGGAAGCCCGTGAATATTTAATTTTTAAAAACAGAATATCAAGTCTCTGCTCTCAAGGATCTGGCAATCAACTGGGACCAAACACACAACAAGCCCTGGGCTACAGCCGGTGAGCCCGGCAGAGGGACTCAGGACAGAGTGCCACCCCTGCTGCGGCCCCAGAGCAGACACTCACCAGCCTTGCACACGTGGATGATCTCAAACCCGATGTTTTCACCTTCTCTGTCACAGTCGGTCCAGATCACCAGCACCTGGCACTGCCGAGCCTCTCGCTCCAGAGTTTTCTGAAGCGCCCAGTGGGGAAACAGTGGTAAGAGCGTGATCTGCAGAGCATCGCATGACAGCTCCACACTGGATCTGCCCCAGCATTAATGAGGTTCTTGGAGAACGCCAGCTTGGTGAGGAGACACGGAGAAAACTGTCCCCGCCGTATGTGGTAAGGATGCCAAGGTCACTAGTACCGCCCCCCACCTTAGACCCACCCGCCCACCCATGAGCTTCTAGAAGACAGGGGTTTATTACGACGACACCATCTTGACGAGCCCTGAAACTCGGCTCTAACACACCTACAGCTCTAGGGGTTCTGATCATGTCCTCAATTTAAAAAAAAAAAATCACCCCCTAATCGAGCTTCATCCCAAAAAGCGCTCCTAGTCAGCAGTGAACCAAGGACAGGCGTCCTAACTGCCCGAGACACCGCAGCGCAGCGCCAGATGGCCTCTTGCAGATCGTAGTCTCTTCCCTCCAACAGGGGGCGGGAGGGGAGCTGACACTGATGACGCAACCACACTTACTCCCAGGGTTTAGTCAAGCAGAGCTCTTCGTAAAAAGGCTCACTCAGTCCCTCAGCCGGTTAGCTGAAATGGCCTCATTTACATAACGGGCGGGAATAATTTTTTTAAATCGTGGTACTTAGTTTAGGGGAAAACCTATCCTTCAATTTTAGTGCAGTCAAAATACAGAAACCACTTGGTTTCATTAGGTGGTGGTTGTTCAATATGTCTTCCAAAAGATCCTACCTTGATGTCTAAAAAATTCTCTGGGCAGTACTTTTCAATTTCTGCTTCAAAGAGGACAAGAGGATTGCAGCTCTGCCTGGAAAAGAAATGAAAACACACAAAATCCTAGCTCAGCACACAATGGGAGAAGGTTGCCCCAGTGCCCTCATGGGTGCATCCCCACCAGACAGAGTCCCCTGTGGAACGCCAGAGGATTACAGGCAAGGCGTTACCCTCTGGGCAATGCACTCCCCGTGACGATTAACAGGAGCTGCTAAGAAGAAATTCTGGAACTTTCGTACGCATCTGCGATAGGGTGACTGCAATCCAATGCCTGCATGCAAAGGGTTTGGGTAGGGAGCTCCCTGGCGGTCCCGTGGTTAGGACTCGGTGCTTCCACTGCGGCGCCTGGATTTAATCCTTGGCTGGTCGGGGAACTAAGATCCCCCAAGCCGTGCAGCATGGCCAAAAAAAAAAAAAGGTCTGAGTGTTTTGGGGGAACGCACCTGAAAGTGGCTGTTTATTTTAAGCATATGGTAAAAGTTCACAGCGAACCAGTTAATCCTAGGTCACTGCTATGGTATCTATGGTTTGTGTTCCCTGCAAATTCACATGCTGGAATCCCGACACCAATGTGACGGTGTCAGAAGGTGGGGCCTTTGGCCGGTGATCAGGTCGTGAGTGTGGGCCTTCATGAAGGGGACTCGCAGTCTTATAAGAGACCTCGGCCGGCTCCCTAGACCCTCCACTATGTGAGGACACAGTGAGAGGTCAGCAGGCCACAGCCTGGAAAAGGCCCTCGAGGGACCATGCAGGCACTCCGACCTCCTACCTCCATAACTGGAAGAAACACATTTCTGTCCTTCATAAGCCACCCAGTGTGTGTATTTTATTACAGCAGCCCAATGGATTCAGTCATCTTACTGCTGTAAGTAACAAAGTAACACCGACATGCCTCACACTGCCTGTGATATTTCACAACTTACTGTCATAATCAGAAAGCTCCCCCCGCCCCCGGAATCGTACTGACCACTTGCGAAACTGCATCTGGAAATCATGAGCCAGCAAGTGTCCCGAGACTGAAGTCATTATCATGGTGACATTCTGAATGATAACAAAATTCAAGTTAGTCTTTTAGCAATTAGATTTTCCCAAATCATTCAAATAGAAGAGGGGACCTTCTATCAAAGGGAAAAGAAAAGAGTCATCGGGGGGTGGGGGGAAGGGAGGATGCACAGGCAGAGCACAGAGGATTTTTAGGGCAGTGAAAATGCTCTGTATGATATTATAATAATAGGTACACGTCATCCAAACCCACAGAATGCACACGATCGGAGTGAACCCCAATGTCAAGTGTGGGCTCCGGGTGACAGTGGTGTCGTGTAGGTCCATCAGTTGTAATGAATGTACCGCCTGGTGCGGGCTGATGATGACGTGCAGCTGACGTGCAGCTGTGCATGTGTCGGGGCAGGGAGTATGTGGGAAATCGCTGTGTTTCCTTCCTCTCAATTCTGCTGTGAAGCTACAACTGCTCTAAAAAGAAGTCTATTAAAACACACACACACACACCCCAAAACCAGGTGACTGGGAAGAAACAAACAAACATACCTCTTCAAAGCCAAAACTATAGCGATACAATCACCATTCTAATTCTGGTACCATGATGCCTTTTAAATTTAAACTATTGTATATTAGCTTCTTTTTTGTTATAAAGAGTTAAGATTGGGACCATATTTTATAAACAAGAGGCTTCCAACGATCACCTGTCACCAGTGATCTTTAGGTCATAACAATAGTTTTTCTTAAAAGACAGTGACATATTCTACAAAGGCCAGGCTAATTCTCCTTGATTAAATAATTCTAAAATACAAGCAATTCAGAGAGGGTTTGTCGTAAACAGCTGCTCTTTTTAGCCAAAACTAAAAACCCAAGGAATGTACACCGGAATGGCGCATGGATCTGAAAGCATCCTTCAGCCACAGGATAGAAGTATTACAGCACCTACCTGGCCACGCAGACGATAATCAAATTCATAGATCTTGTTGAATCTGGAAAGTCCTTCTCTCTACAAAACAAAAAGAAAATCTATAAATTACAAAAAAGACAAATGATGCCTCACATAAAGATCAAGCAAATCCCTGATAAGTGGGAACATTAAAAATGCAACAGTACCTCCTACAGATTAAAACAAGGTGAAATCACTAAGACCATTTGTGAAGTGGCCCCTCCGAACTCAGTTACAAGCATGTGCTTGCTCAAGTCCACAGAGCTTTTATGCTGCAAGGTGACGCGAGATCAGCTAACACCACGTAACATCTTTCTAGAGCTGAGAATGGACTTGTCCAGGATCACATGACTATTACTCCAGAGAGAGGATTAGGACACGCGTCTCTTGACGGTTTTGTCCGTTCTCCACACACACCTCTCTACTTCCTGGCCATACAATTGCGCCAATAAACTGGTGTCCACAGGCAAGTTTTCACCTTTCTGAACCTCAATTTATTCTGAGTAAAGTTACCTGTAAGGTCCCTCTGGCTCTGAAATCCAGTAACGCTATGAGCCGCAGTCAGGCCTGGGAACCAGCCTACAAAGCTCCTCCTCAGCTGCACTTATGTGTGAACGAAACCCTCTCAGAGAAGATCCCACCTTCTACAAAGGTGTTAAAAGTAGCTATACATGTGAGTTTCACACCAACGCTGCACAGAAGACAAGACACAGGCAAAGTGGGACTGGGGGAACCTCCAAGCGCCAAGAAGGATCGTGTCGAGAACATCCTCACACAATTTTTCTGTGTCGAACACTGAATGAGGCTCTTTTCGAGGCACAATGGCAAATTTAAAGACGGAATTTATCTTAAGAGTTCACTCGTCTAGTGTTGCCAAGAAAGGAAACTCCCCTCTACAAACTCCAGTTGCTAGTTAAGCCCTTCTAGTACCAGAGAAAAGAAATCGTTGCATCACTGGGGTTTCTACCTCTTTTTAAGAAAGCGCTGAAGCTTCCCAGACAAGCTCTTACAGGGACCCTGATACGTAACAAGGTCCAAGCATTCTGGCTGCAACAAGGCTGAGCTCTGCTAACAGCCTATCCCCAGTCCGGCCCCAGGTGGCTCCTGAGGTGCACGTCCGTGGTATCCTGGGTCTCCCGGGAACGGTCTGGAAGCCCCTGTTCTAATCCTCCCCTAGTGGATGACCTGTCTAACAGCATGTGTGCGGCCCGGGGCCAGGGCTCTCCCAGGCAGCCTCCTCCACCAATGGCTGGTCCTGAGGAAGTAAAATGCTTTTCCTGGCATTTCCAACTTGCCTCCCCGCAGTCCCCAGCTGAGGACAGTACTCAATCATGTATGATTCCACCACTTGGGTGAGGTGCTCAGGGGAGTGGGTTGCTCCCAAATCACAGCAGAGTTTTGGAGCCTAGCGAAAGAAGAAAACCTAGTAGACAGACCAAGAATGTGGCTTCTGTGATCTCTTTGCAGCGCCATCCATGCCATTAAAACTAAAGAAAAGAAAACAAACTCCCCCAAACCCCAGAGCAGTCCCATCTTCTCTAAGTGCTCTGTAGGGACTGACCACATTGCTGCCACTGAATCCACTGGATTCTTTTTTAAGATTTCTCCTCCGGAATATAAAGCCCTCAAAGATCTGTAAGTTACTAACAGTGGTCACCGTGGACAGTGGGGCTGGCTTACTTGATACACAGTTGTATTCTCTCCACTACCTGAAGCAGTTACTAGCGTTTGAGCCCTACTTTTAAAGAAAAAAGAGAGACATTCTATCTTGCGTCAATATTTTGGTGAATTTCTCTCAAATGTATACATATTTGTATACACGTTTGAAAGTCCTTTCCATAACAGATGTCTAACTATCTATCATAGGAAAGGACAATTTATTTTGCTACGCGCTGCCGTGACCAGTCCTCATTACTTCCATCCTTTGCTATTACAAAGCTGCAACGACTATCATCTGGTCCCGAGCTCTGTGTGCAGGTGTCTTAGCTCCTCCACAGAACTTAAGTCCCTTAGAGGCAGGGATTGCTTCACTCGAGGCAAGCCCTGTGTGAGGGATAAATAAATGAACAGATCCGTCACTGTCTTAGGGAGCGACACACCATGGGAGAGAGGGATGAGCAGCAAGAGAACTCGACCCGTGATGATGGCCAGCATCAAGAGTGATGAGAAGGGCTGCCCTGGTGGCGCAGTGGTTGAGAGTCCGCCTGCCGATGCAGGGGACGCGGGTTCGTGCCCCGGTCCGGGAAGGTCCCACATGCCGCAGAGCGGCTGGGCCCGTGAGCCATGGCCACTGAGCCTGCGTGTCCGGAGCCTCTGCTCGGCAAAGGGAGAGGCCCGCGTACCGCAAAAAAAAAAAAAAAAAAAAAGAGTGATGAGAATGCATCCGGAAACAGAGAAGGAAATGGATGGCGAGGACGCTGAGGAAAGAGTTCACAAAATAGGTTCATTTAAGTTGTCCTTTATTTTTTATTTTAAAAGGTGAAGAGTTCATCAGGAGAAAAGAGGGAAAATGTCATTTCAGGAAGAAGGACCAAAACGTGTGAAAGCACGGTGAACTTTTACCTTTTACATCCTGACTGCTTTCACCATTCCCTTCCCCTCCGTTCCCTCTGCTCCCACCCAGTGCTCCTGGGTCCCTAGGGTTCAGGCCTCTTGCCCCCCACATGGAGAACCCCAACAGCTGCCTCCCGGACTCTAGCCTTTCTTTCTTCAAGTTCTCTGTGGCCACAATGACTTTATAAAACACAAGTATGATCCACTTAAAACCTACACTGCTCATCTCAACTGACGCAGAAAAAGCATTTGATAAAAATTCAACAGCCTTGGGCTTCCCTGGTGGCGCAGTGGTTGAGAGTCCGCCTGCCGATGCAGGGGACATGGGTTCGTGCCCCGGTCCGGGAAGATCCCACATGCCGCAGAGCGGCTGGGCCCGTGAGCCATGGCCGCTGAGCCTGCGTGTCCGGAGCCTCTGCTCCGCAAAGGGAGAGGCCACAACAGTGAGAGGCCCGTCTACCGCAAAAAAAAAAAAAAAAAAATTCAACAGCCTTCACCATAAAGTGAAGTGTGGCATTTACAAAAAACCCACAGCTAACATCACACTCAATGCTGAAAGACTGAAAGCTTTTCCACTAAAATCAGGAACAAAACAGAATGCCTGTTTTCGCCATTGCTACCCAAGATTACTACAAGTTCTAACCAGAGCAACTGGGCAAGAAAAAGAAATAAAAGACATTCAAGTCAGAAAGGAAGAAGTAGAACTGTCTATTCACAGTCAACATGATCTTATAGATAAAATCCTGAAGCCACAATGAAACTATTAGTGCTAATAAAGTCAGCAAAGTCGCAGGATCCAAGACCAACACACAAAACCCAACAGTAACGAACAACCTGAACAGCAAATTAAACAATTCCATTTATAACAGCATCCAAGAGCACAATGAAAACTGTAACACACTGTTGAAAGAAATTAAAGAAGACATACTCAGCCACAGAAAGAATGAAATCAAGCCATCTGTAGCTACACGGATGGACCTAGAGGTTATCATACTAAGCGATGTAAGTCAGAAAGAGAAAGAGAAATACCATATGATATCATTTATATGTGGAACCCGAAATATGACACAAATGAACTTACCTATGAAACAGAAACAGACTCACAGACACAGAGAACAGATTTGTGGTTGCCAAGAGGAAGGGCGGTGGGGGAGGGATGGACTGGGAGTTTGGAATTAGCAAACTAGTATATATAGGATGGATGAACAACAAGGTCCTACTGTGTAGCACAAGGAACTATATTCAATATCCTGTGATGAACCATAACGGAAAAGAATAGGAAAGAGAGTGTACATACATCTATAACTGGGTCACTCTGCTGTACAATATAGATTAACACACATTGTAAATCAACTATACTTCAATAAAATACATTAAAAAATTAAAGACATAAATAAACGGAAAGACAATCTGTGTTCATAGATTGGAAGACTTAATATTAAGACAGCAAATTCATACGGAATTGCAAGGGGCCCCAAGTAGCCAAAAAATTTTGAAAGAGAAGAACAAAGTAGGAGGACTGACACTGCTCAATTTCACAACTTACTACCAAGCTACAGGAAATCTAAACAGTGCAGTACTGGCATAAGCAAAGACATACATAAGAATGGGACAGAACTGACAGTCCAGAAATAAACCCAAATATCTATGGTCAACTGTTTTTTGACAAGGATGCCAAGGCCATTCTATGGGAAAAGGACAGTCTTTTCAACAGTGCTGAGAAAAACTGGCTATTCATATGTAAAAGGATGAAGCTGGATTTTTACTTTATACCACATAGAAAAATTAACTCAAAATGGATCAATGACCCAAATATAACAGTTTAAAGTCTTAGAAGAAAACACAGGGGCAAATCTTCATGACCTTCAGTTTGGCAATGGCTTCTTAGATATGACGGTGAAAGTATAATCAACAAAAGAAGGAAAAACAGATAAACTGGACTTCATTAACATTAAAAACTTCGGTGCATCTGAGGACACTATCAAGAAAGTGAGAAGACAATCCACAGAATGAGAACATCTGCAAATCATATATCTAACAAGGACCTAGTATCCTGAATATCTAAAGAACTCTCGGGCTTCCCTGGTGGCGCAGTGGTTGAGAGTCCGCCTGCCGATGCAGGGGACGCGGGTTTGTGCCCCGGTCCCGGAGGATCCCACATGCCGTGAAGTGGCTGCACCCGTGGGCCATGGCCGCTGGGCCTGCGCGTCTAGAGCCTGTGCTCCGCAACGGGAAAGGCCGCAGGGGTGAGGAGCCCGCGTACCACAAAAAAAAAAAAAAAAAAAAAGAACTCTCACAGCTCAACTACAAAAAGACAGTTCAAAAATGGGCAAAAGACATGAATAGACATTTCTCCAAAGAAGGAGACACAATGGCCAACAAGCACATGAAAAGATGCTCAGCATCATTGGTCATTTGGGAAACGCAAACTGAAACCACAACAAGATATTTCACACCCACCACGATGGTGATAATTAAAAAAAGAAAAAGAACAAGTGTTGACAGAATGTGGAGAAACTGGAACACTGATGGTAAGAATGTAAAATGTTTCAGCCACTGTGGAAAACAGTTTGGCATTTCCTCAAGAAGTTAAACATAGAGTTAACTTATGACCCAGCAATTCCACTCCTAGGCATTTACCCCAAAGAACTAAAAACAGGTATTCAAGTAAAAACTTGTACATGAATGTCTATGGTAGCTCTATTCACAAGAGCCAAAAGGTGGAACCAGTCCAAATGCTCACCAACTGAAGAAAAGATAAACCAAACGTGATCTATCTATACGATAGGATATTATTCAGCCATAAAAAGGAATGCAGTACTAACATACTACAACATGAACGGATCTCAAAAATGCTAAGTGAAAGAAGCCTGACACAAAAGGCCACGTATTGTATTAATCTTTTTGTGTGAAATATCCAGAACAGACACAAATCTTTGAGGACACAAAGCAGCTTAGTGACTGCCAGCGGCTTGGAGAAGTGGGGAATGAGGAGTGACTACTTCATGGCTACGGGGTTTCCTCCTGGCGTGATAAAACCTGGAACTAAACAGAGGTGACGGATGCACAACACTGGGAAAGTACTAACCGCTGCCGAACTGTATACTTCAAAACAGTTGAGGGGCTTCCCTGGTGGCGCAGTGGTTGAGAATCTGCCTGCTAATGCAGGGGACACGGGTTCGAGCCCTGGTCTGGGAAGATCCCACATGCCGCGGAGCAACTAGGCCCATGAGCCACAACTACTGAGCCTGCACGTCTGGAGCCTGCGCTCCGCAACAAGAGAGGCTGCGATAGTGAGAGGCCCGTGCACCACGATGAAGAGCAGCCCCCGCTTGCCTCAACTAGAGAAAGCCCTCGCACTGAAACCAAGACCCAACACAGCAGAAATAAATTAATAAACTCCTACCCCCAACATCTTCAAAAAAAAAGTTGACACTCACGTGTAAAACACGTGGCTCTCTACTCCTCTCACAATGTGCCTTCAACTGCCATGCTTGCCGTGCCCACTGGCTCCTTCCCCTACCGTGCCCACTCCCAACTCCCAGCTTTTGAACTTGCCAAGCTGTTTCAAGCCACTGGGTTGTTCTTTGAACATGGCGTTTCCAGTGCCTGGTAAAACTTTCAAGACTGAGCTCAAACGTTCATCCAACAAGTATGGATTGAGGGCCTCCTGTATTCCAGACACGTGTTAGGTACCAGGGATACAGCATCAACAGCACATTATCGAACTGTAACTGGGAGGTGCCTTCCAAGTAGAACAGGGTGAGCTTATCACACAGCACCCTGACCCAGCTGGGGGAGAGGAATGTGAGGAAAAGTTTCCCTGAAAATGAGATACTCAAACAGAGCCCGAAGGATACACAAGTTAGCTCTGTGTAGACGGGCCCGTCTCAAGGAGCCTGGAGCCCTAGAAATGGGCACAGCCTGGGGCTGGTCACCAGGACACTCAGCTCCGGAAAAGAGGTGACGCTGTCAGCTAGCACCCGCACAACCTCGGCTCCTGTTCCCACCATCCACCGCGGGAAGCAGAGACCTGAGGACCCTGTGATGTGAAAGAAAAAAGAGCAGGGAACGTCCACCCATGCTCTGGGAAATCTCCAGAAAACCGTTTCAGGATCCACTTTTGTAATTGAGAGTGTCCTGACAGCTCTTGAGGCCTCGTGTCACCTCCTTCCCAGACCCTTTCTCACCGTTCCTCTCCTTTGGGCCTTCCGTGTCCAGAACACACCTGATCCCCAACTCGCCTGACTCTCGGAATTCGTTAGTAGCGACGGAACAGGGGCTCGGGCGGGTTGCCCTGTCGGATGCACCTAGACTGTAGGGCCGGGCGTGCAGGGGGGGACCCCGCAGGCTCGAAAGCAAGTCGGGGGAGTGTGGCCTGCGGTTCCGAGTCTCAGGCCCGCTTGGCATCCGCCGCCGTGCAAGGCGGACCCAAGGTCTCCAAGCAAACGAGAAACACGTTAACTCCGTTTCTAAACGCCCGTCGGTCCCAAGAGGCGCCCGGAGGCCCCGGCCCAACGGCTAGGACCCCCAGTGGGAGCAGCGGCCGCTCGTCCCCGTTCCGCCCGCCCATCAGTCTCCTCACCCGCCGCATGCGGCCGCCGGACAACAGGTCCGCGATGCCCTTGGCCGCGTCGTTCTTCTCGGCCACGCAGAGGATCTTCCGCACGCCTCGCAGGGCCACTTCCATGTCGGCGAGGGTCAGCGCCCGGCTCCCAGGCCGCGGCAGCCAGCGGAGCGCGCGGCGGACGACAGGGAAGATCATTCCCAGGCCCCGCGAATCTGCTGTGCCAGCCCAGGCACCCGGAGGCTCCCGCTAACCCGCAGTCCCTCGCGCAGCCCGCTTCCGCCCGCCTTCCCGCCGCTTCCGTCGGCGTGAGGGGCACAGCCCCGCGAACTACAACTCCCACGCTGCACGGCGCGGCCACCTCACTTCCCTCCTTTCCCGCTCAGCCCTCGGGAGACGCCGCTCTCCGGATAGGAAGTTGACGCGAACGCTTCCGGGTCTCGCGGCACGGTGTCTCGAGTCATGTGATACCAAGATGGCGGCGCCGCGGTAGCAGTCTCTGGGTTGTGGCGTCCGGGGAGTCGCGACGGTTTCTGCTCTCGGGCCGGGGGGGCTGCCACGCCTGGATGGTCCGTGCGGCGGCACGTACCCCCGCATTGGGCACCTGTTCAGGGCTGAGGCTGTTGCCGTGGCGGTGGGTTCTGGGGAGTGCCGGTGACCTCTCTGCGGGTGCCCTGCGCCGGCTGTGGTCGCCCGAAGAGTAGAAGGGCAGCCGGCCTCCCGGTCCTCCCGACTCACGGAGTTCCTCAAGCCTCCGAGAGCTCTGGAGGAGCCACAGCTCTGAGGGGCTGCGGGAGTTCGAGCCCGCGGGTATGTGATCGGCTGCCTCGTACCTCTGAGGGCGCAAAGAAGCCCGTAAGAACTTTGCTTCCTCCTCCAGAGGCCTGGCTCCCTCGCTTTGGCTACCCCCGCATTCTTTCCCACTTCCTCTCAATGTACTCACCATATATCTGGAAATATGATCAGCGCCCCTGACGTGGTGGCCTTCACCAAAGAGGACGAATACGAGGAGGAACCTTACAATGAGCCGGCCCTGCCCGAGGAGTACTCGGTGCCGCTCTTCCCCTTCGCCAGCCAAGGAGCCAGTCCATGGTCCAAACTGTCCGGGGCCAAGTTCTCTCGGGACTTCATCCTTATTTCCGAGTTCTCTGAGCAGGTGGGACCCCAGCCCTTACTGACCATCCCCAATGACACCAAAGTTTTCGGTACTTTTGATCTCAATTACTTCTCTTTGCGGATCATGTCTGTGGATTACCAGGCCTCCTTCGTGGGCCATCCCCCTGGTTCTGCCTACCCCAAGCTGAACTTCGTGGAGGATTCCAAGGTCGTGCTGGGAGACTCCAAGGAGGGGGCCTTTGCCTACGTGCACCACCTCACCCTGTACGACCTGGAGGCCCGTGGCTTTGTGAGGCCCTTTTGTATGGCTTATATCTCAGCAGACCAGCACAAAATCATGCAGCAGTTCCAGGAGCTCTCAGCTGAATTTTCCAAAGCTTCAGAGTGCTTGAAAACAGGCAACAGAAAGGCATTTGCTGGGGAACTTGAAAAAAAACTGAAAGACCTGGATTACACCAGGACAGTGCTGCACACCGAGACGGAGATCCAGAAGAAAGCCAATGACAAAGGTTTTTACTCATCTCAGGCCATCGAGAAGGCCAATGAGCTGGCCAGTGTGGAGAAGTCCATCATTGAACATCAAGACCTGCTGAGGCAGATCCGCTCGTACCCTCATCGGAAGTTGAGGGGGCCCGATTTGTGTCCTGGGGAGACGGCGCACACCCAGGATCCGCCCAGCCAGGCAGCCACTACCTCTGACCCCGAAGAGTCTGCTGACACAGACCATTACACCTGCAGACCCACCTACACCCCAAAACTCATCAAAGCAAAGTCCACCAAGTGTTTTGACAAGAAGCTGAAGACCTTGGAAGAGCTCTGCGACACCGAGTACTTCACCCAGACCCTGGCCCAGCTCAGCCACATTGAGCACATTTTCAGAGGAGACCTGTGCTACCTCCTGACCAGCCAGATCGACAGAGCACTCCTGAAGCAACAGCATATCACAAACTTCCTCTTTGAAGACTTGGTAGAGGTCGATGGCAGGGGGGAAGAGAAACAGGAGAGTGCACGCCCTAAGCCTAGTCACGACAGGCCGCCTTCCAGGTCTGTAGAAGAATGTCCAGTTCCTCAAGTGTTAATTAGCGTGGGCTCCTACAAGTCCAGTGTGGAGTCCGTGCTAATCAAGATGGAGCAGGAACTTGGGGAGGAGGGGTCCAGGGAAGTGGAGGTGACAGAGTCAAGCAGTTTTGACCCCCAGGAAAACTTGGACTACCTGGATATGGACATGAAAGGAAGCATCAGCAGTGGAGAGAGCATTGAGGTTCTTGGCACAGAGAAGTCCACCTCTGTGCTGTCTAAGTCTGACAGCCAGGCCAGCCTCACGGTGCCCTTGAGCCCCCAGGTGGTCCGGAGCAAGGCTGTCAGCCACAGGACGATCAGCGGGGACAGTATTGAAGTCCTCAGCACCTGCCCCTCTGAGGCCCTCATCCCCGACGACTTCAAGGCCAGTTACCCAAGTGCCATTAATGAAGAAGAGTCCTACGCAGATGACGGTGGGGGAGCCATCCACTTCCAGGCAGGCCTCAGCCCGCCGGAGCTGGGGGAGGCCCAGGAGGGCGGCTCGGGAGTCACCCCGTCACAGACAGACTCCTGCTGCATTGGGAGGGAGGGTGGCACTCTGCGGGTGCCGCTCTCCACCCCGGGCCACACGCTCTCTGACGAGGACGGGGTCGTGAGTGTCCCCCCGCAGCGCTACCGGCAGAAGGACCAGGAGTTCCACATGGACTTCTCGGTGGAAAACGCCAACGCCTCTTCCCGAGACAGCGGTTCCGAAGGCTTCCCTGCTTATGAGCTGGACCCGAGCCACCTGCTGGCCAGCCGGGACGGCAGTAAGACCAGCCTGGATGACCACTCCGACGCCACCAGCTACGGGAGCAGCGTCATCTCCACCAGCTCCGACAGGACTCCCTCTTCTGTTCCTCCCACTGGCCCCTCTTCCGAGAGGCATAAGAAGAGGGCGGGCCAGAACGCCTTAAGATTCATCCGCCAGTACCCCTTTGCCCACCCAGCCATCTACTCCCTGCTCAGCGGGAGGACGCTCGTGATCCTCGGGGAGGAGGAGGCCGCAGTCAGGAAGCTTGTGACCGCGCTGTCCATCTTTGTCCCCAGCTACAGCCTCCACGCCAAGCCCGTGAAGCACTGGGTGTCCTCTCCTTTGCACATCACGGATTTTCAGAAGTGGAAGCTTATTGGTCTGCAGAGGTAATTGGTCACAGGTGGTGGGGATGGGCCCTGGCTGGTCAGAGATGAGGCTTCAGGTGGCCGTCCCTCTGGGTGAGGTTCACGAGTCGGTGTGGTGGCCCCAGAACCAGGAGGCCTGGCTTCCAGATTGGCCCCAGCACCAACTCGCTGTGTCGCTTTTGGCAAATCCTCTCCCTTTTCTGACCTGTTACCTTGTCTGTCACATGAGGGGTTGCAGTTCCTAAGTGGTTCCCAACCTGGTCTGCACCCTGCTGTGTCAGAATGGTTTGGGAGGATTTTCTAGAATGCCGCAGGGTTGCGATTGGGTTGGCCTGGGGTACGACGTGGAGTTCGCCCGGTGTGCAGCGAGGTTTGGGAACGACTGGACCGCTGGGTCTCAGGTCCCTGCTGAGTCTCTAACTCACACTATGGGGTAAATGACTGAGGCGGGGTCTGCATCTGAGGAGGGCAGGGGTGCTGGGAGAGGCAGCCGCCCCGGCTCTCCCTCCCCTGTCCCCTCTGCCCCAGGAGCCCATCCCCTCCCCCCACCCCCTGGAAGCTTTCTCCTTTTTCCCCATGTCACCGGCTTGTGCTGTAGCAGGTTCTTTTGGGGTTTTCCACGTTCTGCTTGTCTGGCTCGGGGGACTTCTGCCCTGGCGTGCACACTGGGCTCACTTCTCTCCCCGCACCTGCCTTTGCTCACCTGAGACTCATGCGCGTCGAGCTGGGTGATGGTAGGAGTCCACTCTCTGGACTACGGAGAGGGCAGGAGCCCTTTCCTCCCCGTGGCAGTCAGCGCCTTTACACGGGTCCCTGGCATCCGTGAGGTCACCGTCCCAAGCCGCCTCGTGTTCGCCCCGCTCACGGCCACCTGACTTGCTCGATCCGTGGCCGCCCTGCGGGGGCATGGTGGTGGGATTCAAGCCCGGGGCGCTTCCACGTCCACTTCACTCTCGGGCCGTGCTGGCGGGGCTGGGGTACGAGGTGGAGGTCTCGGGCAGGGGCCCTGCTCTGGGAGAATTCGTGCTCCGGAGGCCAGAGCCCGGCGGCACAGGGAGCCGAGAGCTCTGACGGGGGCGCCTCACATGGGAGGCGTGGGACGGGTGCCCGGAGGAGGTCTGGGGTCTCTGACTTGAGTGGAGGGAGGCTGGGGTCGCAGTGGGGGAACAGTGAGGACGGGCCTGCCAAACCGGGGCAAGCCCAGCCCGTGGGCATCGTGGGAGTGTGGACGCAGGGCTGAGGCTCAGCGGGTGCCTGGGCCCCCGCGCCCCTGCCGGCGCCAAGTTTGAGCTGGGGTCGGGGTGGGGGGAGGCCTTTAAGGGACTGTGTTTGGCTGCTCTTCTCGGTGGGATGACGGGCGGGCGGCCCCTACACACACACCTTCACTTCTCCAACTCTCTCCTCTCACCCCAACTCCTGACCTTTGATTTTTTTTGCTTCAAAAGGGAGAGAATCTAAAAACACAGTCAGTTTATCGACATCACCTGGCTTATCCAGGACCAGGTTCGGGATGGCCTTGCCCTTTCCAGAGGCTTCCCCTGAGCTTCCTTCCTTAGAACGCGGTGGCAGGCAAATGAGGTGCATCCTTCACGTCAGTTCCACTCTCCTGGGCACCCAACTGCAGTGCTGTGTTGAGAAGGATTCTGCGGCCCGGCGTGGCTGCACCGGGGAGCCAGCTGTGATCAATCACGATGTCTCTGGGATGCAGGCGGGGGTAGCGGCAGGTGGCAGTGTCCCTGGAAGGGGGCTGTGAGCTGCTCCTCTGCAGTGGGCACCTGGGCAGCGCCTTCCTCCCTCCTGGGAAAATAGTGGTCATTTGCCAGATACTTACTGAGAGCCATTACAGGCCAGCCGCTGTGCCTGGAGCCAGGATACAGGTGCGTCAGCAGTGGGGCGTTGCGTGACAGGGCTGCCCTTGCTCCCGTCCCAGCGTCACCGCCCCGTGGGCTGGCGCTCCCCCAGGCTGTTTCCATTTGCTCGAGGAAGACCTGCCTCGTGCTGGCAAGTGTCGGGGACCCATCGTGTCTGACCTGCGCCTGCTCCGTGCAGGCGCTGCTCTGACGTCCTGGGGGGCAGTGGAGGGGGGCGCCGATCGC